CACCACCAGGATACCTGTAAGCTGTATTAGTGCTTGAACATCTAAGATTTTTTCATCCATGGGTCATATGGGTTGCACACAGCACCGTCTTTAACTGTTTATTCCTTCCCTTTTCTCCTCCCTACCCTGATCATCCTGTTGCTCGCCCCTAACCACAAACCCAACCCAACCCACTGCCGTCTGTGGATTCCTATTCATAGTGACCCTGTAGGACAGTGTTGAACTACTCCATAGGGTTTCCTAGGCTGTAAATTGTTATGGAAGCAGACTGCCACATCTTTCTCTAGTGGAGGGCTGGTGGGTTCCAGCTATCAACTTTTTGGCTAGCAGCCAAGTGCTTTAACCACTGTGCCAAACCGACATGAAATAAACAAACAAAGAAGAAAAAAACAACTGACAGCTGTGGAGTGATTGGACTCATAACAGCCCCTCCTTGGGTTTTCTAGGTGGTGCCTCTGTGGAAGCAGATTGCTCAATCTTCCTTCCAAGGAGTGGCCGGTGGGTTTGAACTGCCCACCTTCTGGTTAGCATTCAAATGCCTTAGGCACTATGCCACCATAAAATAGGCTTGATTTTTTTTTTTAATTTGTTATTTAAATACATTTAAGTTATAGACCTGATTTTAAAATCAGGTGAATTAGGTTTTGGGGGCATGGAACAGTGACCCTCAATGGAAAAAAGTTACTTAGAACTTTTTTTTAAAAAAATAATTTTATTGTGGTAATAATGTATGTGTGTGTGTATTTGCCATTTTAACTATTTTGAAGTGTACAATTCAATGACATTAATTATATTCATGTTGAGCAACCATCACCACTATATATATCTAAAAATTTTTCATCACCTCAAATAGAAACACAGTGGCTCTTAACAAGTAATCCCATTTCCTCTTCCTCTTGGCCAGGAACTCTTCACTTTTCTTACTGCTTGTCTAATCTTGACTGGCCTTGTTGTTGTTGTTGTTATGTGCCTTAAAACACTCAAAAAACGAAAAACCAAACTCATTGCCATTGAGTCAATTCCAATTTCTTAGGTTTCTGAGGCTGTATCTCTACGGAAGTAGATTGCCCAGTCTTCCTTCCAAGGATTGGCTAGTAGTTCAAACCCACCAGCCTTCTGGTTAGCAAGTCAAATGCCTTAGGTACTTCACGCCCGGAGCTCTTAAAGCAGTACGGACACTTGTCAGCTCTCTCCTTAACAGCCTTATCTACAACATTGAATTGCCATTTTAATAAGTGTTGAATGGACACCATCAATCACTGCAGGGATGTGACTCTTCAAGAATCATCAACAGAGAACAGAAAACCAGCAGTTGCTTTACAAAATGCAGAGTCCAGTGTTGTAGGTAGAAGTTCCAGTGCTAGTTAAGAGGCTGCCGGATTTTGTGACCATGGCCAGATCATTTTGCAAAATTGGGACCCCAACTATAAAATGACCCAACAAGTGTTAGAACTGAATAGCTTATGTAGATGTTTTTGTGCTGTTACCGCAAAATAACATTCCTAGTATAAAAATTTTTTAATTAAAAAAAATTAGATATGGAGTGTATTTGTTGCTGATAGTTCACAGTTCAAGATAGCTTTTCTTGGACTTCTGGTAAGATTGAGGAATAGGCAGACAAGCAACACAGACCCTCTTCAACAAAGAAAAGGAAAACCAATTGACAGAGATACAGAAGATAATCCTGGGCCCTCAGCTTTGATAGAAACTTTGCAGAAGTGGATTAGGCACCAACTAGTGGAAAAACCTAAATGAAAACAGTGACTACAGAGATGGTCAGAGCTGTAGACTGTCAGCTACTTCGACAGGACCAACAGCCTGAATAGTTTCAAGTGGTATTGGGACCTGAGAATTGACCTAAAAAAGATCAGCCCTGGTCACCAAGGGCTGCAGGGATGACTGTGCTGGTGGCCTATGACTAGGAAGGGAAACAGAAAAGTGGGAGACAACCTGAGCTGTTGACTTTCCACTGTCCAGAGTGTGCAGCCATTTTGATTGTTTACATGTGGCAGCCATTTTGGATATTTAAAGTGACCGAGGGTGCGGCAATTTTGAATGTTTACAAGTGGTGGTTATTTTGGATATTTAAAGTGACCAAGGATGCAGCCATTTTGAATGTTTAGAAGTGGTGGCCATTTTGGATATTTAAAGTGACTGAGGGCACAGCCATTTAGAATCTTTACGACTGGCAACCATTTTGGATTTTAAAGTGATAGCATCCTTATTTGGATTCCAGGGACCTAGGAATAGTCTCTGTTCTCCAAGGGCGGCAGGGACATATGAGAGGCTGACAACAGGAAAGGAGACAGGTGGTGAGTGTGTAAGTGCTGCCCACTAGCAAATAGAGGTGCACAGCACAGTACCCTGCTTGCATAGGTGACATACAAACAAAACAGAGAAAACTGAACATTGTGGGCAAGTCATTCCAACATACAATCACCAATTAAATATAAACACAAAAAAGTCACAATGGCTCTGAGACAACATAGCATCACAGTCCACACAAAGAAGCAAGATAAAGCAGGAGAAACAAGAGACCAGGATACAGACCTAAAACATCCCTGAGGAAGACGCAACATTGGAACTCCCTGTTAAGGAATTCAAAAAAATTATGTTTAGGTATCTTCAATGAAATGAGACAGATCAAGGAAAACACAGAGAAAACCCTAGAACAATTTCAAAAGACAATACAAGAAAAAAATGACAAAGTAAATGAAAAATTAGAAATGATACAAAATCTACGTACACAAATCCAGAAGATTAATACTAAATTTTAAGAAATAGATAAGACATTCAATGGGCAAAGGGGCAGAACTGAATCAATAGAAGACAGAATTAGGGCGATTGAAGGCAAATACCTAAACACTTCTTTGGAAAGGGATCAGTCAGAAAAAAGATCAAAACAAAATGACAAAAGCCTAAGGTTCATGTGGGATACCATCAAAAGTAATAACCTGTGTGTAATTGGAATTCCAGAACAGGAAGACACAAATAAAACCACAGAGAAAATTGTCAAAGATTTGTTGGAAAAGAATTTCCTGGTATGATGAAAGATGAAAATATATCCATTCAGGAAGTCCAGCGAACCCCAAACAGGATAGACCCCAAAAGAAAAACACCCAGACATATCATCATCAAACTTACCAAAACCAAAGACAAAGAATCATGAGAGCAGCATGGGTAAAATGAAAAGTTACCTACAAGGGGCAACCAATAAGACTAAGCTTGGATTTCTCAACAGAAACCATGCAGGCGAGAACACAATGGGATGGTATATATGAAACACTGAAGGAGAAAAATTTCCAACTAAGGTTGTGTAACCCGCAAAATTGTCCCTCAAATATGGTGAAATTAGGACATTTCCAGATAAACAGAAATTAAGGGGATTTGTTAAAACCAGACCATCCCTACAAGAGATGCTAAAGGGAGTCCTTTGGACATCAGAGTAACAACAGCCAACAACAACTGACAATTAACGCACATGATGATATAACCCAGAAACCAACCTAGCTATGGAAGTATCCAAAGTAAATAAGCCTACAAGATTGTAACAGGGAACCAGAGACATCAATTGACAAATGAGGACAACTACAAACCAAAAAGAGAGAAAAAACTGTGTAGTTACAGAACTTCTAGATAGTATGAAAGTTAAGACAACTACAGGCAGTCAAGACAACTGCTGTTCTAGCTTGGGAAGACAACTATAAATCACAGGGTAACCTCAAACAAAAATGATAAACCTTCACATCGAAATAGAGGACCAGCATAAATATTCAGCAAATACTAAAACAATAGCAATGAAGGAAATGATAACACGATTCATAAACAAAACGAGCTCAGCATAGTAAATTGTGTGGAACAAAGAAATTGACACCATGAAAAGCACATAACAAAAATGACAGCAACAAATTCATATTTGTCAATAATTACATATCTGGCAAGGGACTTATCTCTAAGATTTATAGTGGAAAAGTGGATGACCAAACTATGGTACATACACATAATGGAATGCTATGCAGTACTAAAGAATAATGTACAGTCTGCAAAACATCATATAATATGGATGAACTTGGAGGACATTATGCTGAGTGAAATAAGTCATGTCACTTTAGTTTTGTGTATTTCACTATACATAAATTATATTTCAATAAAATGCATTTAAAAAAGATAGCTTTTCTTTATTTTAATTACCAGAGTTGTTGACCTGTTGTTTTGTATTAAATTGTAAAAGAATTTATAAGCTCTATGTTGATTTACTTGTAAAAGTTTACTCTTACAAGTTATTGTACAGTATGATGCTGCTTCTTGTTGTTATGTGCCATCAAGTCAGCCCCAACTCATAGCGACCCCTCCTTGGGTTTCCGAGGCAGTAACACTTCGGAAGTAGATTTCCCAACTTTCCTTCCGAGGAGTGGCTGGTGGGTTTGAACCATCAGCCTTCTGGTTAGCGGTCAAGTGCCTTAGGCACTAGGCTACCAGAGCTCCTTAATATGATGCTTAAGTTTTAGCTATCTCTTAGATCAAAGAATAGATTAAGAAATAGAAAATGTAATAAACTTTGCTACATATTTGTCATTTTTAAATACGTCTGTGTGTGTATGTGTGTGTGTGTATTTTTAAAGAGAAATATGGGGCTGATTAAATCCTTAGTGATGTAGATTAAAGGATTCCTGGTGGCACAGTGGTTAAGTGCTTAGCTGCTAACCAAAAGCTTGGCAGTTTGAACTTGTCAGCTGCTCAGCAGGAAAAAGATGTGGCAGTCTGTTTTTGTAAACATTACAGCCTAGGAAGCACTAAGGGGGCAGTTCTGCTCTGTTCTGTAGGATCACTATGAGTTGGAATCAACTTGACAGTAATGGAATAATTTAGACTAAACTGAAGAGGAAGGGGTGGAATGGAGCTCTGCTTATTTTATAAAACACCTCAACATATTAGATAAGTTATAAAACACTTTGAAATGTGGTGTGGGCTTTTATTGTTGTACTGTTTTGCTTTCAAGGATGGCACAAAAGAAATATCTTCAAGCAAAATTAACCCAGTTTTTAAGGGAAGACAGAATTCAGCTTTGGAAACCTCCATATACAAATGAAAATAAAGAAGTTGGTTTGGCATTGAAGGTATTTTTCTTTTTTTTTAATTGTGATTTGGGTGAAGATTTACAGAGCACATTGACTTTCCATATAGCAGTTCACATATACTTTGTCTCATGTCATTGACCACAGTTTACCACAATGCAACAGCTCCCCTCCCACTTCCTCCCCATAGT